CTTTGAAAGTTTTAATCATGAAATAGTCCACAGTTTTTAAGCTCACCTGAGCCAAATTAAAGCTCAAGTGAGCTTTCCTGATCGAAACTTTTCCATTGTCATCGGCGTCATTGTTGCAAACTTTTCACATTTTCATCTCAAGAACCACTGGGCCAATTTCATCCAAACTTGCCACAAATTATCCCTGGGTAAAGGGAATTCAAGTTTGTTCAAATAAAGGGCCTTGCCTTCTTCCAAAAGGAGATAATTAAAATTTTTTGAAAAATTAATGGCATCATTTAAAAACCTTCTCAAGAACCACTGTGCTTGACAAATATGAAACTTTTGTGGAATCATTGTGAGGTAGTGTAAATTCAAATTTGTTCAAATCATGACCCCCGAGGGTAGGGTGGGGCCACAATAGGGGAATTAAAGTTCCACATAGGAATACATAGGAAAAAATCTTTTAAAAATTCTCCTTGAGAACAGCATTAAAGTGATTGGTCAGATTTATACTTACTAATACTGAACTGATTAATTTTCTGCTTTTTCCTTGCCAGAGTGCTCAAGTGAGCGATGTGGCCCCTGGGCCTCTTGTATTATGTAGTAGTGTCATCATTTATCTATTCTTTAGAATTTCTTATTACGAGTGTGCAAATGGATATGAATAAGTACAGTGCAGGAAACTAATTTTGTTACAGCATCGATGCTGATTTGAATGCTTCCTTTGCTTGCTGATTTGAATGCTTCCTTTGCTTGCTGATTTAATGCTAGTTATCCTTATCCTGATGCTGTTTTATAATTAGGTCAATGCTACCGGAAGTAGCATCATGCTACCGGAAGTAGATAATGAGTTTCAGCATTGCCGTTTAAAGCAATAAAAGTGCCTTTTACAATTATTTGATCATAATATCTCACTATGTATCAATAATGTGAATACTTGAACCAATATTCTTTCTTTCTTTTTTAATTTTTTACTGAACTCATTGATTTTCTGATGCTAGTAGGATAATGCTGATTTTATGTAGGTCAATGCTGGTTTTATCCTTTGCTTGCTGATGCTGATCCTGGTAATGTTGTTTTTTAAATGCTGACCCTGATGCTAGCTCGATCCTGATGCTACTAATGCTTATGCTGATGCTGGTTTATGTAACAAAATTAGTTCCCTGCACTGTATGTTGAATGAAAAACATTGGCCACTGTAGTTCTCGTTCCTGGAGCACTGGTTTAGCATTTTGGAAACCTTGGCACTGACTTTAAAATGATAATTTCAACTCCTTTTATGTCATGAATTCAGAAGACCAATATCAAAAATGAAAAACAAATATTCACATGTGAAAGGCAAATAAATTAAACCTTTAATTTTTAGGTCACCTGAGTCACTCAGGTGACTTATTGCTATCTGTTTTTGTCTGTCGTCGTCCGTCGTGCGTTAACATTTAAACATTTTCTTCTCTGAAACTGCTCAACCAATTTTGGCATATAGCATATATGGGTGAAGGGGGACAAAAATTGTGAATTTCATGGTCCCTGCCCCCTGGGGCCTTAGGGGTGGGGCTAAAACCACCAAAATTGATGCAATCTTTAAAAACCTTCTTTACTCCTGGACATCAAGCAGTCAAACTGTTGGCATGATTGTGATATGAGCCCTCTATCAAAATTGTGAGATTCATAGCCCCAGGGTCAGGGGTTCTGGTGCTAGGGTGGGGCTATAAAGATCATATAGTGAAAATGCATTATTTCTTTGAAAATCTTCTCTGCTCCTGGGTATGAAATAAACTAACTAAGTACATAGTTATGTTTAGAAAGACTGCCTCTTCTAAAATTGTGAATTTCATGGCCTCTGGGTCCGGGGTTCTGGCGTTAGGGCGGGGCTCTATTGATTATATAGTGAAAATGCATTAAATCTTTGAAAATCTTCTTCTCTGCTCCTGGGTATTAAATAAATTAACTAAGTATATAGCTATGATGAACATAACTGCCTCTTTCAAAATTATGAAATTCATGGCGCCTGGGCCAGGGGTTCTGGTGATTATATAGTAAAAATTCATAATTTCTTTCAAAATATTTTTTTCGACTCCTGGCTATAAAGCAAAAAACAAGTGTATAGTTATGATGAGCAAGGATGCTTTTACAAAATTTTTAAAACTTGTGGTTCCAGGGGTTCTGTTGTTTCTCGGGGGGGGGGGGGAGGGGCGGGGGGGGGGGGGGCGGCTCTATTTGATTTTATAGTGAAAATGTGTGAATTCTTTGGAAATTTTCATGGTAATAGTGATAAAAGGGGGACAGATAGAAAGATACTAGATCAATTATTTTGTTGATCTTAATCGTACTATTTTTCTTGCTATGGGGCAACAAAGCTTCATTTATCAGTTTATGGATTCTCTAAATTATTGTACTTGGGTGACCGTTAAGGCCCTTGGGCCTCTTGTTTGTTATACTTTCTTTGAGAAAAATGTATTTATATAATTGGAAACTTTGGGTTAAACCTGTAAAAAATGATGCAGTTTCCAAAATCTTCTCCACTTATGGACATTCAGCATACAAAACAAGCACATAGTTATGATGAGCAGGGGTGCCTCTACTAAAATTGTGATATTTATTGCCCCAGCTTCTTCTCTACTACTGGACAATTAACAGACAAACCAAGCAGATTGTTGTGGTGAACAGGGATGTCTCAACCAAAATTGTGAAATTCTTGGCCCCTGAGTTCTGCTTTTAGGGCGTGCCTTTAATGAATGTATAGGAAACTCTATCTTTTTTTGCTATTTGGCTTCTAGCAGTCATACTGAGTGTATGGTTAGGATAATCAAGGAAAATTGTGATATTCATGACCCTGGGTCAGAGTTTTTGGCATTAAACACAGGTATACCTGCTCCAAAAAACTTTAACCTCATCCAACATCTGACACCTTTGGCTTAGATTCAGCATCCAAATATGTCAATTCTTAAAGGTGCTTAGACACAGATTTGAAGTTAATATTTTCTCAAATTTTCTGTATAATATCACGACATATATATTGCAATAGCATTTCACACGAAAATTAAAAACTTCTTTTATCTGGAAATTATTGGAACTATGAATTCCTGGACGCGTTTGATTAACACATCATTGCACTTTCACAAATTTTATCTTTATCCTTAATATTTAAGAAAAGAAGCTATTTTTGTGTATTAATGAAAAACATTACATCTATAATCCAGAAAATTCAGAGTAGAAATATGGGAAAGCAAACCCCCTCACTAATATCGTCAGCCCGTGCTCAGTGTTGTGTACAGAGTTTAACAAATTGAATACACCCGTGAAACGTAAACTGTTTTTGTAAACAGGGCACGAGCTCTGTTATTCTTAATGTTTACGATTCACCGGGTGTGTTCAATTGTTAAAGTCTGCACACACCACTGAGCACGGACTGACAATACTGTGAGTGGGTTTTGCTTTCGAACATTTCTACTCTGAATTTTTCTGGATTATAGTTTTAATATTTTTCATTAATACACAACAAAATTGCCACTTTTCTTAAGTATTAAGACTAAAACTAAATTTGTGAAAGTGCAAGGATGTGTCAATCAAACGCGTCCAGAAATTTGAAGTTTCAATAACTTCGAGATGAAATAATATTTTTATTATATTTTAGTATGAAATGCTCTAGCAACATACAAGCCATGAAATTATGCAGAAAATTTGAGAAAATATTAACTTCAAATCTGTGTCCAAGCACCTTTAAGTATCACAAGATACATCAACTGTCCAAGTTTAGCAGAAATTCTATCAGTAATAAGTTAATAACTATGATATGGCCATCACAGGATGTCTGCTCCAAGAAATTTAACCTATTCCAAAAACGTTTACTTCATCCAGCATCTGAGATTCAGCATCCAAGTATATTTAGTGCATAAGTATACCCAGATGCACAATCCTTGCAAGTTTGGTGAAGTTCAGACCTGTAATAAAATACATATGGGACCTGCTCCCAAAAATTTAACAGACACTTTCTCTCAGTAAATTAAAAATTGTGATGCAAATATTTCAAACTCCTTAAAAAACTACTCTTTGGGATTCTTTACAGTTTTCATGTAAAGAATGATAGTTTGCCATATGCCATCTCACTTACAAGATTGAAAATGAAGTAAACATGATTTTGTTGTACATGGAACCAGTAAGCATGTTCAAGGTAACAGTGTTTTACTGTAGTCCTTTTGACCATGAGGAGCAACCATGTTATGGTAAAGATGCTGGATGCAGAAATTAATACCACAAAGCAGCTTTTACTTGCAGAGTAAGAGACCAAATAAAGTGGACAAGTCATATTATCATCACTTTCAAAATCATGTTTGTTCATAAAGGAATTTATTGAATCAAATTGTTTATTGTGATAAAATTGGAGCTGTGACATTACTACCTCCAATAATACTCTCCAGTTACAATGCTAAAAAACTAACGATTACAAAAAGTATTTCAGTATTACATATACTAGTATATAAATGTAGTGTAATTGGAGCGGCCGCATTACCGCCCCCGATAAAAAAACTCCAGTTACAGTACTAAAAAGCTTACGATTACAAAAAGTATTTCAGTATTACATATACTAGTAAATAAATGTAGTGTAATTGGAGCGGCCACATTACCGCCCCGATAAAGCTCTCCAGTTATAATACTAAAAAACTAACAATAAAAAAAGTATTTCAGCATTACATATATATAAATGTTGTGTAATTGGAGCGGCCACATTACCGCCCCCGAAAAAAAACTCCAGTTACAATACTAAAAAAACTAACGAATACAAAAAGTATTTCAGTATTACATATATATAAATGTTGTGTAATTGGAGCGGCCACATTACCGCCCCCGAAAAAAACTTCAGTTACAATACTAAAAAACTAACGAATACAAAAAGTATTTCAGTATTACATATACTAGTTGATAAATGTAGTGTAATTGGAGCGGCCACATTACCGCCCCCGATAAAACTCCAGTTACAATACTAAAAAACTAATGATTACAAAAAGTAAAGCAAAGAAGGCCGCCACAAAATTCCTGAATGCTGCTGACTGGCTAAATCAGGACATCCCCAAGACCAGTAAAGGTATCATTTACAGCAAAACACTGAAAAGGTGAAAATAATTTTTTCTCAATGTATTTCTTTCGACATATTTCAGTATTCATTTTTTTATGCCATTAAATTTTTGCCTACTCAGAAATAATTCTTGGTGGTGTTGGAGTGAATTTAGATAATTGAATGAATCTAATTTTAACTACAGTTAACTGCTTAATACAGAGACTGACTTTATGACATCCATGCAATTACAATTCTTTGCATCTTCAAAGATGGTACATGAAATACCTACCCCTTCACGAAGGTATAAGACATCCGGCAACTCCTCGACCTTAACTTTATAGCTGTTGCCCAATTCATATATATGGGGGCATCCTTTGTTCTGGCAACTGGTTGGGGATGAGCACTCTAAATGGAACACCGGGGGAAGAATTTCTGGATCCATTTGTTGTATAATCCAGCTATATACACTCTAAGAAATAATAATGACATAATTAGGTGTTTATAACTTGTATTTATTCATGTGCTTAATTTAATATAAATTAAATACCAAAGTACAAGAAATCATGCAAGTTATTGAATTTTAATTCAAATCAGCACATGAAATGCTGGCACACAGGGTATATGATTTATACTTGGAGCAATTTAAGTAACACATAAAATTAGGTTCTTCAGTACCTGCACATATACCTAATTTAATGTATATGAAAATAAAAATTATGTTTACAATACATGCATCTTGTATGGTAGCTACATGTATTGCATACAATTTACTTTAAATTTGTTACTCTTAAGTGTTTAACAAAGTTGTATCTCCTTGATACACTCCTCCTCTAATTAACATACCTTGACTGTGTCACCATATTTGAACGGTCGATTTATTGCAAGACCTCCATGACATTCGTAAACAACACACAGATTTTTTCTGACATCCTCTTTCGTCAGGAAGTCGATGAAGGTGCTCTCTGCAAACTTGAAAAAATAAACTCATGTTTATTTCAAATATGTATATTTCATTTAAGCTAGATAAACAAAACTAATAAAAATAATTTTGTCCAGAACAGTAATTCTACAGCATGTATATTTGCAAAATCGTTTTATATTTGAAATATTTTTTGTTTTAGTTATTTCATTTAGTGCCTTATGTAAAATTGTTAAGTAGGATGATAGTACAAATTGTGAGCAACCAATATACATGTATTTATTATGTAATTGACCTCGATAAGAGCATTGCTCTTGATGAGCAACCTAATGTATATATAAAGGGGTAGAGAACGTGTGTTGCAGGGAGTTATTTTTTTAGTAAACAAGAGTCAGTGCTGTTCAAGGATATTATATATATATATATATATATATATATATATATATATATATATATATATATATATATATATATATATATATCATGTAAGAAATTCTAAATGGAATTAAACAGTTTTTATTTAAAGAACAGTTTCTGACAAACAAAGAATACAAGGATTAAATCTGTCATATGTAAAATGTTGTGTGCCATTTACACAAAACACAATAAAAGCATTTCAGAAATTCTTCAATTTTCTAAACATATAAGGGGATTCACCTTGATATCTCACGCAAGCTTCTTTCGTGTAGCATGTTAGTAACTTGTACTGTAGATTCCCATTCAGGGATAGACATTAAGTTTCAGATCCACTAACCCTTCGGGCAAGTGATCTTAGACTTTGACTTGTCCGAATGCTAAACTTGGTTGCCCAAAATTAGGAAAGAAATTAAGAGGAAAATTATTAAGTTCTGTAGACGTAATGATCAGAAAAAATGTGACCAAATACACAACTGTCAATTTGGCAAGTTGAGCTACCTGAAAAAAAAAATTTCGATGCTGTATTTGTACATAAATGTATACCGCTGTACTTGTAAAATTTAACCTGTTAACACGTACTGCCATGCAGCATTAACCCTCCATTTCCTTTTAATAAAATTCATATTTTAAAAAAAAATATTTTCGGTAGGATCCTTTTGTGATTCGTGATTTTCAGAGATAACTGTGAAGCAACGCTTAAGGAAGATAGTTGCTACGAAACACATCTTATCTTGATCAGGATACATTGTGTTATACTGTACTTATATATTCTGTGCGTAAATAAATAATCTAATTTACTAATAAGAAGTTAATAAAATTTTGTTAGACATAGCATATTTATTACGAAAGAAAATAACGAACCCGATTTTTAAATGAACGGTATAATCCAGAAACGCTTCCAGGGAATTTCAAATGCAAAAACATTGTCAGTCAGGTGCGTGATGGAAATCAAGTTTCAATTTATTCTTTTATTTATTAATTAATGTAAACTAAATCAATATGTACATTAAAATGTATGAGAACAATTCATTTGCCCGATCGGACAAGTACGTCGACAATTTCACCTGCCCAAACTGAGAATTTGCTTGTCCCGGGCAATCGGACAACCATTAATGTCGATCCCTGCCATTTCATGGTGGGGAATTATTATCAACATAAAAATGCCAGAAGTACCCCTCATAGATCTTAAAATCTTGGAATTATTTTGATTAGTTTTCTGCTATCTGTAAACTATATGAAATTACATGTTCACATATAACAAAACTTTGGTGCTCACAATTTTATGTTCTCATGATTTGAAACAAATTTAAATGGCAGAATCATGAAATTGAGTACTCTTGTAATGTGAGGAACCTACAGTATTATTTATATGAACTTTAGTATTAATTTAAATCATGCCTTCACAAGTATGCATGTTCCTCTCTGTCTGAAATATGATATCATAAAGTATCATATTGTGTGCATAAATGCATGGAAACTGTGTTAATAACAAGAATTACTTTACATTTTTAATTCCCTCCACGTTGATAGACACATACGCAATACAAAACTTAGACAACTATGCTTACCAACTGCCTTTCTCTTTTTTTCTGCATCATCTGTAAGAATTAAGGATAAAATCCAATTGAAGCAGTTTTTACTACAAGAAAACGTTCTTCACAAGGCTCTCATAAATGTCCATGCATGCAAGCTTACACAGCATTCATATGGTTGAGTAAAAATGGAATTTTGGTAATCTAATTTCTATCAACACAATGATGAGGGAAGGAATGAAAAGAGTACCTAATTCCAAAACAGACAAGCTAATTCAGATAATCTGTGTCCCAGCTTAATGAAACAAGATACCCATGGGACACATCGCTCACCTAAGGACATTGGGTTAGGCAAAAGCACAAATCAGTCCAGTATTGAAAAGATTAGAGAGGGGGGGGGGGGGGGCTTGAATTTTAAACTACCCGATGATGCTTCCATGTCAATATAACAAATGGCTTTGTTGTACTTGAGAAGATTTAAAAAAAAGAATTCCCATATATTCCTTTGTAAAAATTTGATCCCCCATTGTGGCTCCTTCCTATGCCAGGGTCCATCATTTAAACAAACTTGAATCTACACTAACTGAGGATGCTTCAATATCAATATGACTAAACATAGCTTTTCTGTTCTTGAGAAAAAAAAGATATTCTTATATTTTCCTATGTAAGACTTTGATCTCTCATTGTGGCCCCACCCTACCCCCGGAATCGTGGTTTGAATAAGATAAAATCTACACTACCTGAGGATGCTTCCATATAAATATGACCAATCATGGCTTTGCTTTTCTTGAGAAGAAGATTTTTAAAGACTTTTTCCTATATATTTCTATGTAAAATATTTTTTTCCTATTTATTTTCTATGTAAAACTTTGATCGTCCATTGTGGCCCCGCCCTACCACCGGAGGTCATAATTTGTACAAAATTGAATCTTCACTACCTGAGGATGTTTCCACAGGAGTTTCAACTTTCCTGGCCATGTGATTCTTGAAAAAAGGATTTTTAAAAGATGGTATTAATTTTTCAATAAATCTTAATTATGTCCCCTTGGAAGGGGGCATGGCCCTTCATTTGAACAAACTTGAACCCCTTAACCCAAGGATGCTCTGTGGCAAGTTGGTTGAAACTGGCTCAGTGGTTCTGGAGAAGAAGTCGAAAATGCGAGTAGTTTAGAGACAGACGGACTACAGACAAAATGTGATCAGAAAAGTTCACTTGTGCTTTCAAGCTCAGGTGAGCTAAAGAGAAGAGCATGAGTGGATTGGGAGAGGGGGGGCACTTTAAAAAGGGCCAGGGCCAAAGGGAGTTATGGTATAAATTTCATTGCAAAAGCTTATTGAGATATCGCCCAGAAATGAAAGTTTTACACACACACAGAATGTATGAAATTACGGCATTGACTTTGACCTTAAAATAAATAGGGGTTTTCCTTAGTCCATAGGGATTTGTGGTATAAAATTTCACTGCAAAAGAAAGCTCAAAGGCTTCTTGAGATTTCATGCGAAAACAAAAGTGTTAAAACAGAGAGAATTAATGAATTTATGACTTGATTTTTTCCCTTTTGACCTAAAAATACAGGCCCATAGAGAGCAATTTTAGTTTGGGGGGGGGGGGGGGACTATCAACTGCCAAAGATTCCTTGACGAGCAAAAAACATAGGTAATCAAAGATTACGAAGCTCACCTCAACGAATGTTATCAGTAAAAGTTATGCAAATCTCACATCATATTTTCTTTATAGTTAGTGTGCATCCTGAAAACAATATTCATGCAAGTTCTGTGTAAGAAGGTCTTATAGTTCGTTGGGAATTGACCTGTTCCAAAAACTTTAAGCTTTTCACAAATCAAGAAAATGTCAGACTTTCATTTCCTACATCTGAAGCAAGTCTGGAATGCACCATCTATGTAAGTTAAATCATAACAGCCTATATAATTATAGAGCTACTCCAAACACATTGTCATGGTTACTCATTAGGAAAATGTAGGTCAGATCCAGCATCTGAAGCAAGTCTGGTAGTGCCCATCCCTAGATACATCAACCATACAAGTTGGTCAAGGTATGGCTTATAGTTACTTGGGAATGAACCTGCTCCAAAAACTTTAACCTGGTCACTCATCTGGAAAATGTAGATCAGATCCAGCATCCGAAGCAAGTGTGACAGTGTCCATCCCTAGATGCATCATCCATGCAAGTTTGGTCCAGGTAGGGCTTATTGTTACTTGGGAATAGACTTGCTCCTAAAACTTTAACCGGGACGCCGATGCTAACGCCGACACCGGGGGTATAACATAAGCTCATCTCGAGGTGAGTTAAAAAAAAGGCGGGGCATCAGATGTTATTATTGAGGGGGCACAGGCATATAGTAGCTATGTTCTCTATAGTATTCTACAAGTGGCAAATTTATTCGGGGGGGGGGGGGGGGGGACCACCCCCTCTTTCCTACGGTCATGAAATAAATAGGGATCTCTCTTAGGCCTTAGGGAGTTGTTGTGTATTATTTCACTGCAAAAGGTCAAAAGCTTTTCCTGTTATCGCTCTGAAACAAGTGTTGCAGACAGACAGAAATACATACAGAAGAACAGACAGACCAAAATTAAAATTCCCCACATTCAGTTAAAGCAGTGGACAAAAATAAAGTAATCTATATTTTTAAGATGTCTAAATATCATTCAGCATTGTGAACTGACTTAATTCAATATTTCAAAGTCTAACAAACAACAAGTTTTCATCATTACATGTACCCCCTTTCAGTAAAAAAAATTCTTATAATGAATGTTGATCCAAATATTATAAAGTATTTTTTTACACCAAAAACAACATCCTTTTCTTGTTTATTACTAAAAAGAAGCATTTTGTTTACCAATATAGTATGGTTTAATATAGAGCACTTTTAAGTGTAATTATCAATGTAACAAAATAACAAATAACAAAAACTATTGAGACTCTTCTTCTCCCTCCCCCTTCCATTCTTTAACTACATGTATATCTAGAGTTCAACCTCAGGCAGGGGCAGAAGTGGAGCTCTATCACTGCATTTTTCTTTGTGGTTTGTGTGTTTGTCTGTGGACACACACACAGTCCCACAAACATAGAGAGAGAGAAATAATAACTGATACTTACTTCCTCAAAGTCTTTCAGGATATTGTCTTCATCCACCTGTATATATGAATAAACATGAATGTATACAAGAAATACCCACAAGAAATCATAAATTTTTAGATAAGCAAATAAATATTAGAAAAAACAAGAGGATCCCGGGCCTTATAGGTCACCTGAGTATCATGTAACAACTTTCCAACAGCTGAATTTGGTTCATGTTTTAAACCAGAGGCCATGAAATTCACAATTTTGAAAGAGGCACCATTGCTCATCATAAATGTTTGATTAATACCATGGAGCAAATTTCAAAGCATTAATTCATTTTCAGTATTTAATCATTAATCATCCCTTTCCTGATGTGTATGCATAGAGTGACAGACCAAGGCATATGGGCATTACAGACCAGTTGCAGTAAAACATGCTTACAGTAAAGTGCCAGAGACAAATGAATTTGCATTATTTATTGCAATCCATGGCTCATAACACAGAGCTGAAAACATGAATTTATGAAAAGCACAATTGCTGTGTTTTGATTACCTTATTTAGCCTGCATACCATATCTGGTAGCATTTCAGGTTAAACTTTTTTTCAACTTTTTCAACATTTTTTCAGGGAATGTCGAGTATTCATCTATGTGAGAAAAAATGTAAACTGACCCAAGTTATGTTATATATCGTACGACATATTAGGTATATATATGAAATTCAAGCCTCAAATGAAGGAAAGGAATGTTTTTAAAAAATACACTAACACTGGTTATTCTATGTAGCAATTTCTAGTCATCAAAGACTTTTTTGTGTCAAAAATAAATAAATAGATACATGTATATGTAGTTCAAGCTCTTGATGTTTAACCTGCAAATTTCAGAAATCAATACCTTATTTTCAAGATTTGATGTCCAGTCTTCATCATCTGTACATGTAGATGCATCTGTATCCTAAAATTGTCAAGTAAATCAACATTACATTACATTACAGTACATTACATTATATTACACTACATTACATTAAATTACATTATATTACATTACATTACATGTACCTTTAATGTCATAGGTAAAGGAATATCTGGCAGCTCTTCACTGTCTTTCTCAATCTGCAAATGTATTTTGTAGATCCATTATCAATGGTATGTTATATAATTGTGAAAGCTATTGTGAAAAGTCATCAAAGTGATGTTATTTTATTTTTAAAACATAAACAACTGGCTTATTCCAAGGATTGTATAAAAGTTCAAAATTTCAATTCCCCAATTTGGCATACTCTGGTATATAATGGTATATCAGAATGGTATTGTAAAGAGATCAACCTTTTCACAAATAGATTTTTTTTTTTGCTTTGTTGACAAATTTTTTGGTAACACATTTACTATCATTTTGAAAATACAAACGATTATGTACAATACTTGAAAATGGCATTCTTAGGTGTTTTTTTTTTAAACCTAACAATATCTTAGAACCAAAGTTTGTAATACAGAACATTACAAGTAATGTTAATTTTGTTTTAAATACAAATACACTTCAGAGGATGCAACTTTATTTCACCGTCAGAGTACATGAAAATCAAACCTGTTGAAATCTGTTGAAAATCATACCCATTAAATTTATACTTGGCCTTTTTAAATTTCCAGTTATTCCCTGTAAGCTTACCAAAAAATATAGGAATAAAAAATTTAATTTGCTTGAAAATTGACTCAACTATGGGGAGTGTGTTGGGTGGGAATTGTTAAAAACAAAACAAATTCAGTGAGTTTTGTAATCTTACTGATGATTGTCCAGGGCTGGATGTTCTCTTCTCTTTCTGCAAACAAAGGAGTAAATATATATCTGTTAGTGAGAATATATCATTAAGTATTTGTGTGGCAGATCTGTGAATAAAATATAATTTTTTTAAATATTTCTAAGTCTCAATTTATCTGAAAAAAAAAAGAATTATCTCCCTTTTTGCAATTTTCTAAGCACCATGGAAACTTAATAGGGATAACATAAAATGCATCAATTAAATAAACACAAGTAAAACCTGTCCAATTGTACATTACTTTAATATGGACTTATATAATTGTAAAAAAAAAACACTTTGTTACCTTTGAAGGAGAATGAAGCATGGGTAGATCTTCGTCAATAGCTGCTACATGTACCTATTGTAAAATATGAAATTCAAAATTCAATCTGAAATGGCCAACTCATAGTTTCATATAGATTAAAACTTGCATAGTTCACCAGTTGTAACAATCTGACAAAGCCTAAAGGGCTAAATACAATGCATTTTACAATAATTCATGTATATACTGATTGTTTGTCCATTACCACATAACCACCAAATATCATCTACATTTGTTTATATAGTGCAGTTAAAATAAAACTGTAATCTTGCTATCCAAGAGAAAATTATCAAATTACCACTTTGGATGGTGTACAAACAGGTGTACTTGTTTTAGGGGTTTCTGTCTTCAATTTCTTTTCCTATAAGAATAATCATTTCTGTAAATTATATGTACATTGTGTGTAAAATGATATGTGCAAATAAAAAAGTTATTTTTCAAGCAATTTCTTGCATATGATTGATAAATATTCTCTAAGAATTCCTTAAACCAATTATTACTTGTGCTAAACTTACAGGGTCTTCAAACTCGTCTTCCGAGTCAGAGAGGACAATGCGCTGACTTTTTGGCTTCTGTTAAAAAAAATTGAAGAATAAATCATAATCATCCAAGGAGAGATACTGTATGATGATTACTTGATATTTATTTTACATTTTATCTGGTTACTGGTTACTGTCAGGCAGTTGGACATCAAAATAAGTCCAATGCACATACACACACACCACTTCTCGGTTAGAAGTTTAAAGAAAAACATCATTTTCTAATTATTTCAGTGAAACAGATAATTATATGAGAACCTGTAAAATTAATCATATTATTTGTAAGACTTTTTTTTCTTGTAATGCATCTGAATTATAGAGATCTATACCTATCATTTGCTGTGTGGATTGTATGCATCTATCATATGCTGTATGGTTATCGGAAATAAACCGTGGGCAAAGCGGGCACTTTCAACATATTTACTGACAGAGCCAACCAGTCTTATGAATTTGTATGTATAATTTTCAGCTAAAGGTACAGTATTTCTTTACATGATGGAACTTTATGAGGTTCACAAAATTTATGTGTCATTGTAAGGAAGACAATATACATGTCATGCAAATTTAGAAACCACTGAAATTAAAACTGTATACTGTATAAAGTATCATATGAAGATATCTACCATATCATATGTATTATTAAGGTACTTACATTTACCCCGCTTCCTGACAACACATTATCTGATTCAATGCTTGGACCCTTTAGAAAATACAACAAAATTGCAAGATTGAAAAATATATTAAAATTTAGACATCCAACCAAAGCATTCTATTCAAAATTGTGACTAATGATATCTGTATACTGTAACATAACTGAAATGAACAATGTACATCAGTATCCAAAGCTTAATTGTTATTACAGTTTTACAACAAGGCTTCAATGATTTTTACTTAAAAATGTATTTCTGGTATTCTAGCTCTACATAGGAAACTCCTTCCTTCCCTAGCTCCTATATGCTGATAATTTATAATGTTCATAAAACAAGAAAAATCTTTCATAATGCATCATTTTATTGGTCTAGACAGTCATGTGGCAGGGTGAATAAAACACCAAGTCTCCCAAGGAATAAATATCATATTCCACTCTTTGTAAGTCACATGTGACCATCATTTGATGTAAACAAACGAATGAATCTAAAATCTTTGAATATCCAAAATCCTTATATCAGAAAACAAAGTCAGCAATAAATTCAAATGATGAAAGAAAGGGACAAATTAACATAAAAAGGTAAACATTCACTGTGTTTTTACCTTAGTAGGGTTGGAAAACTACTGTAAATCACTTTTTATTTGCGGGAACTTCGTTTTGGCGTAATAATATTAGACAGAGTGCTCACAAAAATTTCATTTTCGCATATATTAGTATTCTTTAAGATTATATAGAGCACTAACCACAATTCCTGAAAACTTTGTCTCACTATTAAAGTGTCAATTACTATCTCGCCAAAATAAGCTGTTGCGAAAATTAAGTGATCTACAGTATTAGGAAAATGAAATATTCTGTTTAAAGAACTACGCACGCTAACTCTCGATTCCCGCCTACATTTTACACCCATTTAATTCAATATTAATGACAATTTGGCCGTAAAATCTTTGTTGAATGCAAAGAACAGTTCAATGGTAATTGACTGATAATATTAATACCAGTGTTAAATAGTTAATTACCCCTAATTTCAGCTCTTTAAGTAAGGGGGTAGACGATATTTTTCACTAAAATCGGACTCTTAAGCATGAACACATTTTAAAATATACTTGGATATGAATAAATGTTCCTTAAATCTTTTCTTATGTTTTACTCATATAAAATTAAACATATATTATTGATAAAATAAAATGTTTTAGCTGTAAACCCCTTTGAAATTGGTGAAAAAATAAGCATTTTTGTTGTTTTTTTAACTGTAAACATATGCCCCCCCCCCCCCCCCCCCCCCCCCCCCCCCCGTGAAACACAAAAAGCTTCGGTACAAATTTGTGAAATGACAGTCCATATCACCTGTAAAAAGGAATTTTTGTTTCACGGGGGGAAAGATGTTTTAAAAATATTTTCCGTTTTCCGTTGATTTCTATAGTGAAAAACACAAGTTTTCCCAAAATTATAGAGTTATCTCTCTTTGTTTTCCCAAAGAAGTAACGTTTTATAAAAATTCATATAAATATCTCTATAGATTTGAAAAATCATTCAAATGTGTTAACTTTTGAAAATTGACTTGGATGTAGGCAGGAGAACAATACTATCGTTCGCAGTTCTTAACTTAGTAATAGGTTGTTTGGTATAATAACAATTTACTGCTTGAAAGTTTGGGAGATATTAAGGTTTGATCCCCCCAGAACATACAGAAAATATCAACTTTATAGCTATTAACTCTCATCTGAGAATAATTGATATCATGATTAATTTTCAAAGTTTAATACTGAATACATCAGCACGACAGACCACCTTTGTTCAGAAAAATTTTCATTTCAAAGTTAAAACAAACCAAAATCAATCAAGTGGAACAAAATAACAAATCTTACTTTTTTGACATTTTTTACAATATTTCCTCGTGCTGTAATTCAATTGTTTGAAACTTAAAAGTATTGACTTGTTTCGTCCATCCACAAATAATAATTAATGATGCCCCAAATATTAAACCCAAATTCTTACATTTTACTGGGCATCCACATACAAAATCTTAATTAAAACAAGCGTTTCTAAAAAATTCAGAGGGCTCTACTAAAAAAAAACAATTGATAATTTATAAATTTAGCATTTATGGACACACACACACACACACTTACTTGCATATATTTTAACGTAAAATCCATGGTACTTTCTCTTCCCCTTTGAACGCTTCTTTAATTCTTGGTACTTAAGGTCCCGTGGTAACTCTGTGTACGTTTTATCTTCCAACCTCATAGGTACCATTGTGAATGATGTCTTGAACTTGTTTTCCACACTCTGCATCCAATTGTCCATCGAAGAATCTTTCTCAACTCTCAATATCATAGAAGCATCCACTCCATTGAACAATCGTTGGATCCTTTTCTCATTTTGATCCAAGAAGCGAATTTCTAAACACTGGTGTTTAAGAAGAATTTTTTTTCAAAATCAAATATGTTGAAGTAGGGAGCCTAAATAATTTACAAGTAATAGACCAATTAACTCTGTTAATACATACCAACAACAACAGAAATGCACTAGACACTGAGCTATTTTAAATCAAATTCAATTGGACATTGTCATGATTTGGTTTGAACATTTTAATGTTTTATTTTTCCATTTCTGATATTTACAAAGGTTCATAACAGTACAGTAAAACACATTTATAATGAAACGCTGGGGACATACCATTTTACATCATTATTATCAAACCAACAAAACAATTCACTATAATCAGAAGAACTCTTTAATAAGTGTTGACTTATTTTTAATGACAGCCTTCTGAAAAGACATTACAACACACAAACTGAACACAGGCTTCCATGCATTAAATAACATCCTAATCGCACACAAAACATTCGGCTTTTTCCCTTCATCTACCCCAAAATAATTTGATATTGTTACCAAAGAAATAGCATTCTGTTTCCTGGTTGTCAATTCCATGTCTCAATTGACTTTAATATGACATTGGAATAAAATTGCAGTGAATAGAGAACCCAATTCATTATATAACAATTTAAATTGACGCAATGCATTAAATCAGCTGTAAAAAATATATTTAGCATCTTGAAACATTCCGACAAGAATGAGTCCAAAAGAAAAAAATTATTAACAGAAAAAAAAGTATATGATAGCTTTAATTTTCTGTGTATTTTTTATTCGTTAATTTTCAGTGATCAATTGTTTCAGAGAAGAGTCGAAAATGTTTGTTAACACACCATATACTAACATAGATGGCAATAGGTTAATTGAGTGATTCATGTGAAAACCACCCCCCCCCCCCTTTTTTTTTAACACCCACACACAAAATAGAAGGTCCAAATTTTTTTCAATCTTATAAACTGATGATGCAAATAATAATGGTGACAAAAACACTTGTATATAACTAATTTGTCTTTAATTTCAAGTCTTTACCTCTGGTTTCTCACTCTCTTTGGAGAAGGTGGTACCAATCATCTTCTTTTTACTGGTGATGAATTTTGCCCTCAAAAAATCCAGTTTAGACTTCATTCCTTCATAGACATAAAAAAGAAAATCTGTCAATTTACAAATCAGTTGTATATAAATGTAGTAGCTTTCATGTGCATTTCAGTCTTTTCAGTTCATTTATTTGTAAATGTATAATTATGGACTAAATATTTACAAAAATATATATTTTGATTTCTGTACAAACTTGGATTTAAGTGTAATTGCTGACCAAAGTGTATGAGGCAAATTTCTTGTCCATTTTATATTTTGCACGTTTTGTTGCAGTTATAGATACTGAATTACATATGGATGTTTTAAGTCGGAACATGTTTTAATTTTTGCCTGTGCTATAGTTTACCATAATTCTAGTTACTACATTGTTGTTTAGCATATCATAATACTTGTATGTCCTCAGTTAAATATAAAATTTATTTACCTTCATCTTCAATCCTTTTGAAAGGGCCTGTGGACCCACTTCCACTTGGTTTCTGTTCCGCTTCTAAATGACAACAAATAAAGTAATTTTTCTACAATCTAGGAGGACATATTACATGCTTACCATCCATCCATTCATCCATTATCTATCCATTTATCTATCTATCTACTGAATATCTATAAGAATTACCTTCACTTGGTACTGTGATATCACGAGTATCTGCAACCCTGCCTAAACAATAATATCCATTTCATTAATACAATACATTTTCAAACATCCTTATCAAAACCAAATTATTTATATAACTGAATTTCCATTAACTTTAATTCGCCTTTTGCAACTGGTGTGCACTCAACATCAACAGCTGCAAACAAGAAAAAAAAATCATTTTTATTGTCTATGAACATGTACATATGTCAATACATGGACATAAAATTCATCTTTCATCTCTAACATTAAAATTGTTTTATATTTTACAGCATTTTTATACTGCAATAAATATATTTCTTCATCCCAGACTGTTTTTGTAATACTTATAACAGACACCAATGCTTATTAAAGTTTGTCACACAATTGTCTATATATGCATCTTTTCAAAATTTATTTTGCAACTTTCAGTGAGTGGGAAGGGTTTGCAGCATAGTTGCAATGAAGTGAAAATTGGCGCATTAAATCAACCAGTGGTGTCGCCAAGGTGCACATCCAAATTTCAGCGATGTTATTTGGAAATATATTGTCAACGACTTTCTTGCTTGTTTTACTTTTGTTTTAAATGTAGTCATGTAAATACAACTGTTACAAATATCACTGGTTAAAACCTGGCAAAAACTGCTTCTTGTTACATGAAGCATTTTTTTAGGGCAACAAAGGTACGTTACCTCATTCATTTTCAATGTTTAATTGAAATTTTGACATTATTGACCCAAAATACACAAAATTATACTGTTTGTGGGTTCCTTTAAATGTGCTACACGGCATACATGAAATATAAAATTTGGTTAATAAAGAAATTGGTTTCCTTTTGTATTTCACATTTGTTTGTCATTTAAAAATTTGTATTTTTCTTAAAATGACCCATCAAAATATAAGGATGGCCCATTCATTTTCAAAATGGCCCATTAAAAAGTTTGACAGTTGGACCATAGTCCCATTGCCCTTTATGACCTTCCCAATCACTGAACTTTTTTCATAATAATTTTGCTAGTGCTCTGGGTGGAATATGATATATTGAATATGACTGACTATAGATATCATATGTATCATTATACGTAAGAGAACATATAATCTATATATAATCATTTTTGAGCAGTTAAGCAATTTATTTTTTCTAAATTGCTCATAATAAATTGCACTTAATTTCAAAATTCAATTATTCTTTAAACCCCATACATACTTTTCTTCTTTACAGCAGTGCCACATTCCCCACAGAACTTGTTGTTGGGTTCTAGGTGACTACCACATTCTATGCAGAACATCCTGCAAAAGTAAACAAATTATAAATAGATAGTAGTTCCGAATATTTGAAAATTAATTTTGGTCAGTGGATATTCCTATTAGCTCTAAGCTTAAGAGGACAATTTGAATTTTAAATTTGGGAATAGTAAAAGGAAGATACAATGATTGATAGAAATCATCAACCTTAAAAGACATATAGCTTCTATTAATTATATTTTATAAATCTATTGATATAAAAAATAATTTTAGGGAAAATAAGATCAATAGTTATGAATGTTAATTGAGTTTCAATACAAAATGAACATTTCATTCGAATTTCCTCGATATGAAAGATTCGCTCAGTTTTGGGAGAAACTGTAAAAACTGTATTCATGTATAACTTACATCAAAAAACAAGAATTTTTGTTATTAACACTAAAACAAACAACAAAGAATATTATTGATATATTACTTACATTAAATGTAATCAGTAATGACCACGATCACGTTGCCTCCTACATCAAATAAACACGATGCCTCCACATCCGCGTCCTTAGAAATCTTGGCCAAATCTCGATCTCTTGAAATCTTGGCCGGCCAAATCTCGATCTTTTGAAATCTTGGCCGTTCATCTCGTAGAAGCTTGGGAATTAATGATCGAGGTCACCCGAAATCTTGGCAATGTACAGGGTCGAGGGTGTACATGGCCAGGGTTATCATGGCCAGGCCTATACGGCCAGGGTACGCGAGCAAAATGGCCAGGCTAGGCTATGTATGGTAGAGGGTTATGGGGAACATGGCCACGCCAAGACATTATTATGCAAGACCAGGTTGAACATGGCCAGCCAGGATAGCTAATCGTCGAATGCAAGATGCATGATAATATACATGGCCAGGGTGAAGATGGCCAGGCCATGTTTAGAAGCGTGGGATAGGCATGGTGCGAACATGGCTAGGCCAGGGTAGTACATGGCCGGGCTAGGCTGTGTATGGTCGGGGTAAACATGACTAGATGGGATGGCCATGCTGCAAACATGGATCGGCCAGGTTGTATACGGCTAGGCCATGATGATAAAGCGTGGGGTGTCCATGATGCAAACATGGGAAGGCCAGGGTAGAAATCATGGGTGGCCAGGGTTAAAACTATAGATTATATAGACCCTGACCCTGGGGGTCCCCTATGGCTTCGAAGATGGGAAGGCCAGGGTAGAAATCATGGGTGGCCAGGGTTAAAACTATAGATTATATAGACCCTGACCCTGGGGGTCCCCTATGGCTTTCAATACCTTATTCTGACATAAACACATTTTTTATGTACAAAAATGTACATGTACACAAAGTTTAATAATGGGTCTCGGAATGATTTTCATTTCTAATTCTAGGAGGGTGGGCGGACCTAAGGGTGTCAAGAATGAAATATCTATGGAAAGCCATAGGGGACCCCCATGTCATGTTCTATATATTTCATTGTAAATCAATCCTGGCCGGTCAGGATGGTAATCATGAACATGTCAAGATTTCAAACATGACCAAGCCATGATTTTTATCATCTTGACCAAGTCAGGATTGATAACATGACCAACCTATCTTGGCCAAGTCAAGATTTATAACATGGCCATGCTATCTTGGCCAAGTCAGGATTGATAACATGGCCATCCTATCTTGGCCGGTCATCATATAACATGGCCATGCTATCTTGGCCAAGTCAGGATTGATAACATGGCCATCCTATCTTGGCCGGTCATCATATAACATGGCCATGCTATCTTGGCCAAGTCAGGATTGATAACATGGCCATCCTATCTTGGCCGGTCATCATATAACATGGCCATCCTATCTTGGCCAAGTCAAGATTTATAACATGGCCATGCTAGCTTGACCAAGTCAGGATTGATAACATGACCATCCTATCCTGGCCAAGTCAAGAT